AGAACAGAGGATACAGAAGGATTGACTGAATGATTTGCTTTCATTACCAATGTGGAAGGATTGCTTGCATGTTTGCTTTGTAATGAGAAGTTGTCAAATAATAAAAAAAAGTAATTTGGAAAGACGTTTCCAGGGAAGCTATGCTACATCTGCAGCCGACCGCCATGTTGGAAGTGGGAGAAAAAGTGCTGAAAGATTGCAGAACTTCTGGATAAAGTAGAGGAGTGCAAAGATAGATTTAAGAAATGGATTGCATCTTAGGTGGGGGATGGGTGCGCTGAGTGGACCAGACCTGGCATTCGAACCAAGCTGTGAGCTCCAGGGCTGGTCCTGGAACCCCGGCGGAGCGACAAAAACCAACACGGGGACGGTATGCCCACCCCCGACTGCCCGGCAAAGTAAGGCAGGGGGAAAGCACGGGGCCACCGGTGTCCAGGCTACAGTTACCGGGTTGGGTTGGTCACTCTGCTGCCTTGTAGTCGACCAAAATCCCTGACAATTTTGAAATTCCCCCTGGACATTTTTTAGGTATGAAAAGTAGGACATGTCCAGGAAAAAGAGGACGTCTGGTCACCCTATAATGCATCTCCAAACTCCACTAGTGCTGCTAGTTTTGTTGCAATCATGGAAAACCGTTCACAGATCGAAAAGGTAGCGCTCTGATGCAGGGATGTTAATTTTCTTCAAATTTTTCCCCCCCAAATCTTTAAAATAAACAGATTTCTTTATTGTGTTGCTAGAATTTCATCAATGCAACAAAACCTAATACATTAATATTGTAATGTAATTCAAGCACTAAATATCAAACAGCAGATTAGTCACATGATCTGACATTTGCTCTAGGATAAACATTTCATCATCAAAGCTTATTATATATTTAAGCCCACATATTCCAATTTTATTTTGGGCTAAAACATTTAGAGACTGTGCTGCCATACGAGGCTTATAGAAGACTTTTACATTTTTGCAGCTCTGGACAGATTTGTTTTTTTTTTGTTTTTGTGGTCCAATATGGCTCTTTGAACAGTTTGGGTTGCCAACCCTTGATCAAGAACTTTCCACAAATAGAGCAGTGAAAAAATGTAAGCATATATAAAGCTCAAGAACAATTTCCTGTATATGTTCCTTTACCTCCCTTATTTTAGGTAAATTATGTTAACTTGCTACCTAAGTAAAATTAGGTTTAAATTTTAATGTTGGTCAAAATAAATAAAACCTACAAAAAATAGTTATACTTTTATCTGAAAATATATTTTTAAAAAAGTGGCATGTGTTTTGTGAGAGCTTCAGTGTGATAAATCACAAAATTTAGAAGCATATTACCTTGCAGAAAATAAACCCTCTTACATCCACAGAAACCCTGGATCAAACTTAAAGTGAGATGTCACTTCTAGGCCGAGTAGTGCAGGAGCAGTGTCTGCAAATGATTTTTCACTTTGCTGTCAGAGGTGAACATCCAAAAAGCAAAATGATGGAAAGGAGATATCACTGATGTTTGGTGGAAGAAAAATGAATATTTTATTTCCATGCTTCTTTTGAGATACATATTAAAGAGAGAGCAAACTAGCAGAGCTCCTCTTCAGCAGATGAAACACTAAGCATGAGGATCCAAGTCAAGCATGAAACCAGGCGACTATGAAAGTAACCGGGGTCTAAACATCTCCACGTATTTTTAGACCTGCAACTACAAGTATGCTCTCCAGATTAGAGATTTACATTTCCACTTAGATAAACATAGCTTTCCAAATACGTGATAAATCAAGTAAAATAACTTGGGTATGATGCTAAAATAAATACTCACACACAAACAAAGCTCTACAAAAATACACACCCTTCATCTAAATAAAATATGGAGCTCAGCTACAATTAGAACTATTTAAGGATTTGCAACCAGTATGTAAGAGATAGTTTCCCTGGATTTATTATTAACCACAAAACAGATATTCATAGCGTAAAAAACATATAAATACATTTTTGATAAGCCTTTTTTCAATATTTTTTTTAAAGTAGTAAATTTAAAAGCAGCTTTTAAAAACTTACCGGAGCGGCCTGAGCGTCCTCAGCAGCCTCAGCACTCGGAGCATGCCCAAGATTTTTTTTCCATAGAAAAGAGTCACCAGGATGTCAACAACAGAAATCATCACCAATATCCCATCCAGAATGTTCCAGCTGCTCCTCAGGTAGGCGTTGTTCCCAAATAACCAACCAAGAGCCACGATCTGTACAGGACAGGGCAGTAGAGAGTACAAGTATAATTGACATAAGAAAAAGCAGAGGTAATGTTTATTAATGTTCTAAAGCTTGATATCAGATCAGTGTTTGAACATAATCGGTTATACTGTTCCATTTTTTTTTTCCTCTGTGTGGCAGTATTTCCAAATTCTTCTTGTTTGATTCTTTTTGTTTTATTCCTGTTAATGAAAAATTTCATCAACAGGAAAATAATTATCCGGGCAAAATGTGCCACACATCTTCAAGTTCAAAAAGCAATTCTTAAAGGCTGGTTATACTCCCCACAGCAGGGTGTCGCAGTGAGCTTGTCGCAGATATTGTTGATTTATGCCCAATATTGAAGCGTGATCTGCGCTATGTTATTCCACGCCGAGAAGCAAGAGGGACAATCAGGAACTAACTGTGGGTCTAGATACGGCCGAGCTGGTGAGGAACTGGGGGCAAGTTTGTGTGACAACGGAGGGACATGAGGGGGAAAAAGAGGGGGGATCCAGGTGGAAAAAGGGTCTTCTAGCTGGTCCATCTTACGAGGATTTTTCCACAATGGCGTCATACAAACAAAACAAGCCAGTAAGGTACCAAACAGAAAATGCGAATAGTGTAGAGTGGAAGTAGATTTGACCAATCAGAGGCCTCCTGTCTGCGGTACTGTCTGTGGTCACCTACAATTTTGGAGAGGTGCTTCAGAGTGTCTGCAGAAGGGGGGGCGCACCTTTAGACCCCACACCTGATCTCTGCTATTAAAGCAAAGCAAACATGACATGTTTTGCATGCATTGTAAATAGCTATTGCATTCAAACTATAACACATAATTTCTGTTTTCACTGCACAACAGTAAATACTATTTGTAGAGCCTAAAAAAATATAAAATCCTTTTCCATCTCCTAATATATTTAGACTAGGGCTGCAGCTAATGATTATTTTGTTAATCAAATAATTCCATAATTTTTTCAATTATTTGATTGATAATCGGATAGCATAGGATAGGATAATCGGATAGATGTTCCTTAAAGAAGACTTTTTATGAAACTAAACAAGGTGAAACTAAAAATATTTGCACTTGAGGAGTTCTGCACAGAGCATATTGACAGAAAAAAGTTTTTTATCTTAAATGCAAAAAGTATTTAAAATTTTGGTATGGCTGTTGCTCAAGGTGGGTTGCTCTGTCAGCTAAAGTCCTGTTTTAGAGTCTCTACACTCCAGTTAACGATTTATCATGTACTAAATTACTTGACAATTATTTAAATAATCAATTAATCAGATTAATTACTTCAGCACTAAATTACACTACAAACTTTAGTGGGCTAATTCATCGATCCATCTTCTTCCACTTATTTCATCGGGGTTGTGGTGATGCTGGTGCCTATCTCCACCAGTCGATGGGCGAGAGGCGGGGCACACCTTGAACAGGTCAACAGTCCATCGCAGGGCATTCTCAAAAATTTCAAAGATATTTGAAATTGTGGCATTTAACCTCTTAACATCCAACTCATTTTGGGAAATTCTCACCTATTTTGCAAATAACTTAGGAGCTGTAAGCCCAATGTACACCCTTTATCTTCATTACCTAAGTTAATACCTTATAGAAACACCCCTGAGATTATGTCTGATAGTCTTTTACTGAGTAGTGAAGTACAGTAATGCTTTCACCAAATACTTTTTTACTAGAGTTGGATGGCTACCAGTCAATTTTACTGGAGTACACATATGATGGAGTAGTAGTCCTCTAACCTAGTAACATTTTTAGGGGGAACTTTATCTCTAACTATAATTTTCTGTATGAACTTAATCTGTAAATGCCCCATTGTAAAAGAACCATCCATCCATCCATCCATCCATCCATCCATCCATCCATCCATCCATCCATCCATCCATCCATCCATCCATCCATCCGTTAATCCGTGGCCGGGTCGCGGAGGCAGCAGTCTAAGCCAAGATGCACAGACTTCCCGATCCACACACACGTCCTCCAGCTGCTCTCAGGGAATCCAAAAGCGACACCAGGCCAGCACAGAGACATAATCCCTCCAGTGTCCTTGGCCTTCCACCAGGCCTCCTCCCAATGGGACATGGCTGGAACACCTCCTGAGGGAGGGGACCAGGAAGCATCCGGAACAAATGCCCGAGCCACCTCATCTGGCTCCTTTCGACATAGAGGAACAACAACTCTACTCTGAGCTCCTCACCCGATCTCAAAGGGTGCGTCCAGCTACCCTGTGAAGGAAACTTATTTTGGCCGCTTGTATTCTGGATCTCGTCCTTTCAATCATTACCCAGACCTCATGACCATAGGTGAGGGTGTAAAATAACCCTCAAACAAATAACTTATTTTATACTACAAAATTTAGTAGATTAACAAATAAAAAAAAACATATTTAGATAGGCACCATATACTCACACCTTATAATGAACTATTTACTTAAGCATCTCTTATAATTTAGGGAAAACTGAAGATAAGTTTTTTTTTTTTTTTAAGGGGTGGGGGGTTTCTTTTGGTAAGCCTTTACAAAAAATGTAATATGCATCCATCAAATGTAATTCAGTGTTAGATACTCTGAAATTGTAAAATCATGACTGGGTGTATGAGTGAATACACATCCATTCCTAAGTAACTAGGCCAAAAATAGAGACAGAGACTTTGAATGAGTGACACCCATGAACTTTCCTCTCCTCTGCCTCTGCCTGGTGCTGCCCACGCCTGATTGGACCTCCATTCAAAGCCAAGCCATTTAAATACAGGCGAGACAATCCTTTTCCTGTGCGACAATCCTTCTGTGCATGAATGCCGTTTCTCTCTCCTGGTTCCTTTTTTCCAGCCTTTTCTCTCCAATTTCCATTGTGTTTTGGGGCTTTGAGCTTTTGTAGTTATATGGGAGATTTCACTTCTATCAAGAGCTATGGACCTGAGGGATTTATCAAGTTTGGTTTCTTTTGTGCCTCTTTTTCATAATTTCAATGTTTTTTAAGAGTTCAAATATTAGTTGATTCCTTTAGGTCTGGTTTAGTGCATATTCACTGCATTCTGTTTTCCGGGAATTCTAGTTCATTTACCTTACAGCACAATATATCTGTTGTTGTCTCCCCTTAGTTTATAGTTTGTTCCTTTTTGTGGTAGATGATCCATATTACACCAGCGTCTAGATTTATTCTCTTAATTTCGGTCAGTGCTTAAGTTCACAGTTTGCCATAATTTCCCGCTGGATCTTTAGGTTGGTCTCCTCATTTTTCCATCCTTTTTCCATGGCCTGGTCTCCCCGTTTCTTTATGTTGATATGGACTTTAAATCAAAACCTTACATGTTTAAGAAATTCATCATGGCCAGCAGTCCATGACTATTAAAAGAGGAAACAGTTGTATTCATAAAAGAATTTGTTCATTCATATTTGATTAAGGTTTCCAAAATTGTATTTCAGGTACCACGTATATCAATAATCATGGACTTTAACATTAAGTGTGTATTAAAATAATTCATGCTTGTCTATTATAATTTAATGATTGGGTAATGGTGGTTAAAGTTAATACTAACTTCAGCAGCAGATTTAAATAATTGTTCTAATATAGTTATTTCATCTTTCAAACCAAAAAAAAAAAAAGACACATTTGACCAGGTATTGAAGTTTGCTGTGCAGTTATTGGTTTGAATTTAAATTTTTATGTATTATTCACAGAGATTTTACTTTATTTATTTGCTTGGTTAAATACCTGAGATAAATTAGATGTGTTTTTATAATTCCTACAATATAATTTATGAGAGCTACTGTAGCATTTCAGCATCAATAACAGTCTAGAGTATGAAAGTAAGTTGCAGATGACTTCAACGAAGACTGCAAAAGAAAACAGATTTCACCAGAATAAAGCAATTTAGTAAATGATTCTAAAAGGCAATTTGGGGATTTGAAGCTAAGTTTTATCAAATGGAAAACAAATAATTTATCTTAAAAGGGAACAAAAATTTGTAACACTGTTGGCTCACAGCATGAAATTCCTGGTTCTAACTCTATTTTTTTTCTGCTAACATTTTGCTTTTTTTCTCTGTGCATACCTAGGTTCTCTAGGGGTACACTGGTTTCCTCTGACAGTCCAAAGATTACAGTACTCCTAGGTTATCATAAGTCCCTAAATTGACCTTAGGGGTTTGTGTGGATGGTTTTGAACTCAGCCTTTCACCCGCCTATTGCTGGTGGTAGGCAACCGCTATTTATGGGTTAATGTCAAATGGATAAGTGGCCACATCTTCTACCCCTTGTCCGTCAGGGTCATGGAAAAGCGTTAGAAGACTGATGTAAAAAGCAAACACCATGTGAATTCTCACCTTTACGGTCATCTCTGCCACAAATATCGCTGTAAAGATGTAGTCAGACCACATCAGGAAGATCCGCTCCTGCAGAACAACAAGGTGACACAAATTGTTTAGAATTCAAGTGCTCTCTCAGATTTATTTTTCCATTAAGCCTAAAGTTTTCCCACTAAACTAGTTGAGTCCTGCACAATAATTTATCTGTTTTCCTCATTTGTTATCTGAACTCTAAACCTTTCTCGATCGCCTGCTGTAGTCTTTTGACAGCTAGAAGACCCTTGTGAGTGTTGGTGTTTAATTCATACTCCTGGAAATATTCCAGCAAAAAAAATTATAAAAGGTTTTTTTTCTAACAAATAGAAAATAATGTCTTTAAGGTTATGTAAAATTAACATTTTCTTTTAAATTAATTCCTAAGTCCTGGTACAACTGTTAATTGTCTTGTTTTATAGCTTGCTGAATAAAGGTTTGAACTGCAGCATTGTCCTTTCTGTTTCTAAAATGTGTTTGTAGTTAATACATTAATCCATTGGTTTTCTTCTGTTAATTTAAGATAGAACTACTGAGTTGTGGTTTTTGACGTTCGTTCTGAGGATTCCCAATATTTAAACCTAAGCTGAATTTCAATCTTGCTTTTTTTTTAATTTCTTTAAGGGTTATCTGTTACTTTAGGATTTATTTGAAAATACTCCAGCTGATAAAATATGTCTGAGCTGTTAAATCCTTGCACCTTAACTGGATCCTCTGTAATCCAACATGAGAACCTTTATTTAGCTCCTACTGCAAGATCTAGATTACAACCTCAGACTATCAGTCAAGATGCATAAATCTTTGGACATTGTTAAGCTGCTATACTCAGAGGAAAACTTTGATGCTTTTGACATAAACATTAGGTTCATTTTATATACTAAAGACTTTTTCAGGTCAACAAGGTGCACTTGTATAGTATAGATGCTCAATGCAGATTGCCCTTCCCAAAAACACTCCTATGTAACTTGAAAGAGACAGGTTCATTACAAAACAAGTCCTGAGACCGAAAGTAGGCCCTACTGCATTGCAGCTATCAGAGACTCCCTTCAAACGAGAGCAAACTAAACTAAAAGTTGTCATCAGGCAACAAAACAGATGAGAACCTTACCTGATCAGACATATTTTTCGTTCTCTGGTGTCTTTCTTTGTGCACTCCAGTTTGCAGCTAAACAGAAAGCATTCGACTATTCTAAGTCCTGAGCCATGGTTCTTAACTACAAATCAGTTAGACTTCTCCCTGCAGGTCAATTGTCAGTCTCTGCATCAAGTGAGAGTTCAGTTATCTTATAACCTTCAGTGATGTTCACAGATGAAAATAAGATAGAGCAAGAGATGAATAGATGCATTAGGTCTGCAGAACATAAGGCATCTATTCATGCTGTTGGCAATGCAGTAATGTTGCAGTATTGCTTTAGTTGGTTCTTAGTAAACAAAGACTTGAACTGAGTCAAATGTAAAGCTTTTGATTTTCATTCTATCTGGGCTACAACATATATAGATTAAAAATTAAACGATGAGAATTTGGATGCCAGCAGCTAAAATTAGCTTTCTTTATAGGATGGCTGGATTCACCCTTAGAGCTACTATGAAATGCTCTTTTATCCAAGAAGGTTTGAGGGGATGCAATGGTTCATTTACATTAAGGGTTTCAGTTAAGGTGATCCTACCATCTGATCAGAACAACCTGTAAAGCCATCTAATGGGTGGATTGATGGATAGATGGATGAACGGACAGATGGATGCACAGATGGATGGACTGAGGGACGGATCGACGGATGGAGGAATGGATCGATGGATGAATTTACCAATCAGGTTTTATTAATGCACCTGCAATGGTTTTTATTTCTATTACTTATTCATTATTGTTATTATTAGAAACTTCTTCTATCTGTGATGCCAGACATGGTGTTGTCCTTCAAGGGTTAATTAAAAAAAAAGGGATCAGAAGCTTCATTCAGACAGGTGAGCCTTAGCTGGGGAAATGCTGAGGAAGCAGATGCAGACCTGGCTGCTCACAGCAACAGGTGATAAACGTGGTTGATGGGCAGAATGGCAGGAGTTGAAAGATTCAGGGTATAGGTAACAGTCAGCTCCGAGTCAACAGACAGAGGTGTCTGACATACGCTTGGTAAGACAGAGAAATCCTTGGTAATATGGTTGTGGTCAAAGATTTGGAAATGAGCAGGGGAAAAAGCTGGACATCCACTAGCTCAAGACCTTTAAAAAATCTGGTGCCAACCATCTGCAGAGAACCAAAATAAAAAAGGGGATCTACAGGTGGAGGGAATGGACTGATTGTGCTCCCACTGTAGGTGGATGGCAGGTGTATTTGATGAGCTCGAAGACAGACGGGCAAAAATCATAAAAAAATCTCGTTTTAATCCAAACTGTAAAAGACATTTGAGTCTTTCCATCTGTAAAAATGTGTCAAATATATTTAAAAAACATATTAAAAATACTAGCTGTTGCCATGTTCCCATACCGAGTTAATTTTTTTTTTTTTTACAAAAACAACCTATAACCGTTCAAAAGTATCTACACCATAAAGTCAGTATATTATTACCTTTCAAATACAGTGCCACGTCTTTGCCCTGCAGCATGTCCTCTGCATGTTCACTAATATGACTGGAGTTTACTTAGTAAGCTTAACAAGGACAGAGGAGGAAAAACAAGAAGGCTACCACGAAAAAGAAGCACTCAGCAAGTGCTTATTCTCCCTTTTCTCCCTCTGCCTAAAGAGAGAAAACCCTGTCCTGCCTCTTAATGTCTATGCATGGTGGAGGGGGCTGTCTTTCCCACGACCTGCACTACCATCCTATATGCTCAGAAGAGCTCTAAATAACATATATTTAAAATGGAAAGAGACAACAAGCCTGTTCATTATGCAGTTTTTACTTTCAGGAATGGTATCACTAGAATTTCCTCTGAGACAGCTGTTATTGTCATTTTGTACACACAGAATGTATAAAAAAAATCATTTTGTGCAGCTTTCATGATATTTCTATTCCTTAAAGTGCAGCAGTAATCAAATGTAAACAGTGTGGGGGGAAAAATAACATGGTGAAAAAACGCATTAATATGGAAGTTCAGAGCATTAAATATATATGGTGCAAATATGCAGTGTTGTGGTTTGGCGTTGTCATTGTGCTGCAGAGTCTCTGATATGATTTAGAGTTTTTTTCTACAGTTCAGCTGTCATCTCTGTTGAGATGGTCCATAAAGGTCAGTTTTAGCAGCACCCAATGGTATTATATTTTATGCCTCTCTAGAATAAACAGCAAAGTTTGATTACTGTAACAGGGTTTCTATTTTTTAAGGGCTGAAAAATGTGATTTCTTGTTTACGAGAAAAAGAAAAGTTAATTTTTTTGCTTTTACCTTATTGTGCCACTTTTGGGCTGCTCTTTGGGACACTGGCTAGCTCTGCTGCTTTGCAGCAAGATTGGATCTCCCTGAATCCATGGTTAAAGCTTTGCATTGACCATTTATGGTTGAATGTGGGCAAAAAGTGGCAAACTTTAAGGCATAGCTGTGATCTACAAAGGATATTGTTAGATGTTGTACATGCACTTTTATTAAAATTCCGATTTTTTGTAGGACTTAATTTTCAGGATTTCAGGATTAATTTTTGTATGAATTCCACACAATGTTTTATAAATTAAACAAAAGGTCTCAATGCAACTACATGGTTTCACCCTATGCAGGAGATCAATCTGTTTTCGATTACTTTGGTCTTTCTTAAGGATCTGGATGTGTGGGAAGAAAAATTATGAATTTTAGAATTCAAAGTGAAAATAGTCAAACTCAACTGTTTTAAAGTTTTAATCATTTCCACATGATTAAATATAGTTTACATTTTGTGACAGTTACTTTCAAGTCAAGACAATTTAAAATTTTGCATGGACAAACATAATTTAGTTTCTGAATTTCTCCCCATAAATAGGCAGAACATGAATAAGGAAAACAATTTCGCCTCTAGCTGAAGGCAAACAAATGATAAATTCAAGCAACTCCCCCATTACTGTCCTTAAATAATTGTCATTGTGTTGTTTTTTCCACTTTAACACAAACATGTCCTCTCACAGCGATTTAGGGAAGGGTTGAACTGTAAAGGAGATAAATCTATCATAAAGCCTTGGTTTTGACTTTAATTTACTGTACTGCATTCAATGCTGATATGATTCAATTCGTAATTTTGGACAGTAGTGTATTATCTCCTGCCTCTTTGAGAAATGATAAATAATTATAGATATTACTGTATAATCATTCACTTAGTTTATTTACCCTGAGCTGATGAAATGATGACAATATCCAGGCAACCCCAAGCAACAAATGAAAACAGAAACGGACAACAGGCCAAATGCAACAAAATGAAAACAGAAACGAACAACAGGCCAAATGCAAACTGTTTGATATAACTCCCAATGAAATATGATAATGAAATAATTATTCAGCCTGCATTCGACACCCAAAAGCACTTCATCTTTGTATTGATGAATAGATTTCATTTTGGAGAAAGTGCTATTGTTGTTTTGTTTTTTTTAAAGCTGGCAAAGAGGGTGATGTAAAGCAGCTCCTTATAAACAGATGCAACAAACTGATAAATTATACATGTTTGGGCTGTTGGAAGCAACTCAGAACAAAATCAGCGAGAGCAAATCGATTTACAATCGACTTCATTAATACAGAACAACGCAGACGGACAAATAAGCAGCCGCCGTGAACAGCCATTACAAATGGAATCTAGAGAACTGTAATGACTGTTCTTTCTCTTGTATCAGGATGCTTGCTAAGTTGTGTATTTCCACCTCATTTTAATGATGGCCACAGTGTGGCGGTGCTGAAAAAGTGATTTTCTAGAATACCACTCGCTGACCTGAGTGTTAGAAAGGCTGCTGGGATGGATGGTGGGTATTTGCTTAAAAGTTGAAGTTGTAAATGATAAAAATCTGTGTGTGCATGACCCTGCAATCCACAAGGACCAGTTAGCACAGGTGAGACCTTCCGATTCCTTTTAGACATTAATCAAGAGTGTATATATATATATAGACAAATATACATTTGTCTGTGTTAAAGCAGGGCAAAGGTGGCAGGATGCCCTGCCACTTTTACTCTGTTGGAAAGGCTGCCGCATCAGCTAAGGCATTGATGTTGTAGATGATGCAGTGCAGCAAATACAGAGGTAAAGCACATATCACCCTGAGCAACTGGCTCACAGTCAAACAAGAGTGGTTCCCTGCTTATACAATGTTCCGCTCTATTTCTCTTCAGAGTGTAAGCTACAGAACAAATTCTGTACGGTGGTGTCTGGATTTAGACTCACTGATGGCTACTTTTTTTTTCATCTTGGTAATCTTGTTAATGTTAAGGCTAATTGTTTTTTTTTATTATTAATATTCAAGTAAAACAAAACAGCTAAAATAATCTTTGGTATTTTCAAAACTGTTTCTCTGACATCAAACTTCAACATGTAAATGAAGGGAAAATTAGAAAGGTTCTCTTTGATCTGAAACAATCTTGTCAGACCTCAAGCTCTGGTCCCATTTCCCCCCTTTTAACTTCAGACACTAGAAATTTAGGTGTGATTTTTATCAGCACCCTGAGGTTTTCTAAACTACTTAACTTAGTGGTCAGAGCAGGCTATACTTAAAGGTACAGTGGAAGATTTTAGAGAACTTTTGAAAAGACCTGCCCTCTCCATTTTTAAAAAAATGCACATGTACAACCCTGTACCAGCTAACAGGGAACACCTATTAAACACTTGAGCGTGTGCACAAGCCTGTTTCTCCTCTTGCATGCTCTGTTTAAAAGTAGCTGTATGCATCGCTCATACAAGCTTACTTTCCTAAAGAAGATTTGCAATTTTTTCACCATGTCAGATTCACCACCAGTAAATGAAGACGAACACGAGGATGGCCTGAAGTAAACATATACCCAGAATGATTGACAATTAGGAGGACCACTTATTTTGAAGATCCACTCGGAAAAATAACTTCCTCCACTATACCTTAAAGGTAGTACTATCAAAAGTGAAAATATTTCTATTTCTATTCAAGACTAAGCTGGAAAAAGCAATGCATGAATTCATTAGTTCAAGGCTGGACAACTGTAATGCTCTCTCTGCAGGAAGTACTGTAGCAATTCTATTCTTCATTAGCTCGGTCAATGCAAAAATGCAGCTGCCCAGTGTCTCTCAAAGGCGTCCATATTACACCCATTCTCTCCTCTCTCCACTTGCTTCCAGGTTGATTAAGGATAGATTTTAAAATCCTGCTTGTTCTTTTAAAGTCACTACTCAAATAGCTCAAGCGCCTTTGTCTGAACTTTAAAGTTTTTGCAACCAGAGCCCTGCACTCAGCAGATGTATAACCCTGCATGTCTCCAGTGCTAGGTTCAAAAGAGAGAATGATTGTTGAGGAATGCTAGACCACCAGAGCTAAAGTAGCGGCCATTCAAGATGGCCCTTCCAAGTCAAACACCAGCTAAATGGCAGCCTATTCCCCTGCAACTGCTAGCAAAATCCCCTCCAACTTCCAGCCACTGGCCTTCTCCTGGGCGTGGATTTTTTTTTTTTACTCTGACTTAACCGTTTCACTGAATTACAGGGTCTGACCAAGATATGATGCTTCTCTTTATATCTTAACGTCCCCAGATCATGATAGAAATAATATTTCATAATAAGGACTGATGTTTAAAAAGGAATTGTAGGGAACCAGGCAAGGGCCAGCAAAGGGCCAGCAAAGGGCAAATCAAGGAAAGTGGGGAAATTTTGAATGGCTACTACTGTACAATCCATTACTGACCTGGAGTCTTAAAAATCACAGCTAACAAAATCAACTATTCAGACAGGCCTTTCATTCCTAGCAGTTCAGCTGTAGAACAAATTTTCTATTAGTTTATATTCTGGTTTCACTACTTTTCCTTATAGCATCGAAAACAGTTTGAATTGTACTAATGTGTATTTTTTGTTTTTATCTCTTTTATCCTGTTATTTTCTTACCTTTACATTTTCATATTTTATCTATTTGACAACTTGTTTAAAATCAACTTGTGAAGCACTTTCTGCACCATATAGATTGTTGAGAATTGAACAAACTTGATTTGATGATCAATTGATGGCGGACATATCACTTTTGTAATGTTATGTTTTGAATTCTGCAAACCTATTTAAAAGAAAGTTCAAGGGCTCCTGCAAAAAAAATTAGTTTTTGTTTATTATCTTTCTGAATGCCAGAAGTAGTAATGCAGAAAGTTCCTTTTATTTCTATAAAACCAGAATGCAGCCCCCCCCAAAAAATGCCTTAATAAAGAGTGGAACTTAATATAGGATTATGTGATGCTCACCGCACTGTCAGGACTGATGCCAGGCCTCTCCATGGCGATGGTGATGCAGTTGAGAAAAATGATGACCAGCACAACATGGTCAAACATTTTATGGTTGATGATCTTTTCACATTGCCTGCGGCATCTGTGAAGAAAAACAGAAACAAGTTATATTTTTTATAGCTAATTAACTCAACTTTAGGAATATATATTAGCTGAGACACAAATGCAACAAGAGATCATAAATATTTTAGTCTTTCATTTAATTTTTTGTGTGCATTGATTTTACTGCAAAAAGTATTGCTGTTATCTTTAGATATTTCAAAGCTGTTGCGTTCAAGGAGAGAGTGAGATGGAAACATCGACGGTGTCCATTTTTTAAAAGAGCTTTAACCACAAAATTCTCAGGACATGGTTCACTTGCATTGCATTCATTAGAAAATTAACATCCCTATAAGGAAAATAATTAACTAATTTTATTTGAGGCATAAATGCATTTAAAGGCTAATAGTTTATGAAAATATATGTCCACTTTACACTGGATTGAGAAGAAACTCTAGACACTTTGACAAATATTCTAAATTCCCCTCAGTGGGAGGACACTGGTTGCACTGGTTGCTTACAGGGTTTTCCCTTTTTTTTTTCCTCCATTAACTAATATTCTGCTACTGTCAAGGTTAACTAAAATGTTTGCTTGATGTTGTTATAATCTGCATATTTACACCCGAAAAATTGGACGTTTCTATGCCTCTGTCATCAGTCTCTGTCATACCAAAGAGAAAATTTCACTATTAGCCATCATGAGAAGAAAAAGAAAAGGGGTGTTTTCTCCACTCAGGATTCCCACCTGTGCAAACTTCTTATCTAGTGTTGCGTTTTGCTTGGAAGGAGCAACCATGAGAAAGCGTCCATACATTTTTTTTTTTTTTTGTTTAAGGTTATTTATTTTTATTCTTTTATTCAATCTATGTCTATTGTTGAATTAAATTTAAAGCCCTGTTAGCTGCTGGTGTTTGCACTACATTCTTTCCTCCTCACTGTTTAACACAATCCCAGATTATAATCTTCAATAGGCAGTAACACAAAATGTATGTTTTAATCTCCGGTTTGAAAAAAGTCATGATTGCCACCCTAACAATCTGAATGAACCGACTCTCAGAGGGGAGACTGAGACACAGGTCCTTAAAAATTTTGTATATCTTCCAAAAGGTGCAAACATGTTTGTATGCACAGAGCAGATCTTCAAAGAAGGTACAAAGTTACTTGCACCTTCTTCAATTTAGCAGTCAGTATGTGCAAGAATGTCTTTTTTGACTTACACCCTTCATCAATATGCTGGTCATATTCTAATGACCACACACCGCAATTTATAGATTGGGAATATGCAAGTGCAATGCCGTTATGTGCAAAGTAATTTTTCATATCTTAAATTTAACTGCGCGTGACATATGCCTGTTTTAGCATTTCTGAAAATCCGGGAACAAATTTGAAAACCAAAATTTCTGCTTTCATTGCCAAAAAGAAGCCATCGGTAGAATGATGGACGATTGAGAGAGATTCTGTGAACATTTAAATATATTTGGGCGGTCGGGAATAACAATACTAGAATTAAATTATCAAAGAAAACCTATCTGCACAGGCTGGGACAACACAGCGGGATGGCAGGCAATTTTTATATGATTAAACCAAAACTAAACAAAAGATTTTTTGGAAGATATATGTTGAAAAGTCAGGAGTATTTTATGGTCTTTAACAGACTGCATGCAACGCATGGCTGTGTTTTCTTCAATAATTAAGGGCCTAATTGTATGGCAGTATATTAGGTCAAGCTGCTTTTGAGACGAGCTGGTGGAGAAAATTCCAGCTGTTTACAAAATAACCTTCGGCTACTTCTTTGTTGCATAGGGGCGGGATGCGGAGGTCAATCAGCGAACAAAGAAAACTTCCTCATATTTCAACTTCTTGTTAATGTTTTCTTTCTACAGTAGCAAAGTGAAGTGAGCTATAAATATAAAATAATATCATTAAGGTACCTGAGCTGACTATGATAGAATTTATTTTGAATTGCATTTATCAGTATAACTTTCCACTGATAATTTCAATTCAGTTCAATTCACATTATTTATATAGCAACAACACATCTCAAGGCACTTTACAGGGACAATTCAATCAGATCATACAATCAGATTTATATCTAAGGAAAACCATTTTTGGCATAGACTCATTTGAGTCGATGTAGCATAATTTTACTTAAACTACCTTGAAGCCTTGAAGTCTGGTTTACTTTCTTCATTTATATTGACAGTTCTTGCTGCTTGAATAAAAACATTAACTTAGTCTGAAAAAAAAAAACATAAAAGCAACATCACTGTTGCATCCGTGCCATCTACCTGTGTTATAATAAAACTGACTAACTTGCTAAATTGTGATTAATACCTTAAGTGATTATTGAGAAGGAAATTTGGATTGACTACATGAAAAAAGGACAGACAGAAATCTCTATTTATTTAAGATGAAAAGTTTTCCTGCCCTGTAGGAGATTTACTCTATTAAAACATACTTTAAAAACAATAATTTAGTTGATAGACATAAGCAAGGTAGTTCAGAATAAAGTCTGCAGTGCACAAGTGAAAATTTAGGCTTTATCTTGTGCTGAATTTCATTAAATGGTTGCCAAGCTTTAAGCTCATGAAAACACACTGAAAGATCCCAGCAGTGACTGTTCTATTTGGTGGTGTCAGGGTTTAAAATGGGAATCAAATGAGATTTAAAGGCTCATGTGGGTATAAATGTGCAGCAGGGGCATTATGTCGGGAGGCCTAGATCTAGATATCTGGCTTTATTTGGTAACATAGTCCTGACTGCTCGGAGTCAGAAGACATGTATGTTTTTCACCTCATTTTGCTTTCTCATGCATTAGTAATATCTGCATACCAGAAGCTTGATTATGTAGAATTTGTCTGTTTTTCTCAAGTGGCCGAGGAAGGGAGACACACGGCTCCATCTCTTCCTCTGAGGTTCAAAGGGCAAATATCTGGAAGTGAACTTTAACCGGAAATGGTTTGGAAAACCAGAAACACACACACACTAACAGTGAGAAAACGGAAGGATCTCTTCTACAGGCTAAAACTGTCAATGGATGCTCAGACAAAATAACACATTCTGCTCACTTTTTTGAAAGAAAAAAAAAAAACACCAAAAAACTTTACATCTTGACATCCTCATAAGAAAAACATTCTGACAACTGTCCGAAGTACGCCTCCCCAGTGGTATTTACTGACCTTTGGAGTTTTCACGCAGTAAAAAAAAAAAAAAAGGTCGTGACTGATGCCTGGCATACACGCATTTGATATCTACCACTGAAAGTTTCCTGCTTTTTAGACATCATGAAGTGTATCCTAAGTTATGAGTCAAAGCTGATAGAATTTATAACTTTTTAAAACTCAAGATCTTCAAATCCTATTTTAGGTGTTTGGTTGGGATCACAGTCATAAATATTGATCTTTTGAATTGACCAACAAAGGGGTTTTTGGTCACTTTCCAGTGATATTCTTATTGAAAGAGACCTTTTAAGACTACAGGGTTAATATATAACTCTTAGTAATGGAGACTGACCTTCACAAAAATCAGTTGAAATGCTTCTCTTTACAAGGTTCAAAGTATTACGTTTATAAGGTTTTTAGAATGACATGAAAAAAATTATCAATGGCTTTAGTTTTATTTTTTGTTAAAACAGAATACAAAACTTATATAGCCAAAGAACAGCATTAAAAGAAATGTACAATCACATTTAAATGGTTTGTAGAACGTGTTGAACCAAAAACTGAAATGATCATTTCAGAAAAGATAGGAAATAAACTAGCATTACCTCAGAGTTAAAGCAAAACACAAATTTTGTAAAAAAAAAAAAAAAAAAGTGTTTTCCAATTATTTTTCTCCAATGTTTGATAAAATGTTTGAATGTCAAGTTAATAAAGAATTAAAGGTATTGTGGAGGATTTTGACAAATTTTTTCTCTTCACACAAAAAAAAATGCACATGCACAACCCAGTACCCGCTCCCAAGAGGGTACACCTATTGTGCGAGAGCATAGGAACATGCATGAGCCCATTTCTCCTCGTGTTTAAAAGTTGTCATAGATCATACAAGCTTACTGTGTCTGAACTAAATTCCTCAATCACTATATGAGGGGGATTATATCGTGGACTTTGTAGCAAAATTAATTAACTGACCAGTCAGACAAATGATCACTACTTTTTGGTCCACGTTGGTCATGTAACTCCTCCTCCACTGCGCGGTGCCTGCGCCATATTTGTTTGTTGCCATTGTCGGATAGCGACAGCCTATGGCCACAGGCCGCTGTGACAGCAAATCCCATAATTTGCAAGGAAAGCTCTCCACGCAAAGCATTCTGGGATATATCTGCCTCTTCTGAGGCCTTTCTTTTCTTCTCATACACATCATAGAAACTTTTTCTCTTACAACCTTCGGCCAATTTCAAAGAACTATAGAGAGAAAGGTGAGCTTCAACGATTGTCTCAAACTGTAGCTCACCAGAGATATACCCCTGAATGTGCAAATGCACAGAAAAAGATAGCTAACGGGACAAGCACATAGGACGGCATCACGTAAACATATCACCAGAATGATTGACAAATAGGAGGACCACTTATTTAGAGGATCCACCTGGAAAAAAAAGATAGTCCTCTATACCTTTAAACAGGCATTACAGAGTTTTCTAATGATACTGCCACCTGTGGCCAAAACACACAACTGCAGCACTCTTCTGCTCCTACTTGTGCTCGTCCTTACAGTAATAAGGGTTGTCTCACTTTTTTCACCTTACAGTACATGGAGTTGCCATTGGTGTCTGAGTGGAGCTGAGATTGTTTGATAACTTTGACCCATTTACTCTGGACGTGATTGACGTCACATCCACCGAACAGCACAGGAACTTCTAACCAAAAGTTGATGAATAAAATTGAACTACAGACTTATAGATCAGCGCTGATCTACTGAGGTGTCCTTCTGCTTATCAAACGCTGACTTAGTCATAAAGAGTCAAATAAAAAGGCTATTTTAAAGATATTTTTTTCAGAAAAAACTTTGATTGCGTTTCTTTAATCTACATGTGTTGAATCTGATAACGTCTTTCAAAGCACAAACCTAATCAATGCCTTTATTGATTGAGGCAGTACAATATCATAGAGGCTTTTTTTAAAACAGTTGACATCTATTGCAGTAACTAAAATCTTTAGCTGTCAAGTTAAATGGATACTGGCTTATGCAAAGTGTCGTGGGTAAGTAGGTTGAGCAAAACACATTTTAGGTGGAAGTGTTTTAAATCATACATAAGGTAAGTTTGTAATAGTTATTTATTAACAATATTTTAATATTGTAAGAAATTCTGAATGGGCTGAGAAATGGATATTTCTCAGCGGAATAACAAGACCAAACTCCCTCAGTAGACGCTGAACATCCCTGGTGCTTTTTCTACTTGCACATTCTTCATATTTAAGAGGCAAAATATTTAAGCTACTGGCTTGCAGAGAGCCTGCAGAGGCTCCTCACCCCCTACTTATTAATACTGTCCATAGGTTTCAGTAGAATGAATAATGCGCACTCAGGGCTGCAGGAGGTGAGCTCAGGTCGTTGTGCACTCTGCTTGATTCTAGTTCCCTGCTGCACCGCTGCCAAATCTTGATGAGATTTTGAGCACAGAAGGGTGTTAGAAACAGGCACCACACAGAGCCAGTGTCCTCAGTGTCATCCTCAGCCAGTGCCAAAGCTTACGTCCTATTGCGAGTGAAAGCCAGCTAGAAACGCAACGAGAGAAGACTACTGCTCTGACAAAGAAAATAATACTACAATAAACCTTTTTAAAATATATATACAACAGATATCAGAGAGCTAACCCACCAGGTAGTTTGACAGAGCTCAATGTAGGGTACGTATCAAATTTTTATGACATCAGGGAAAAAATGTCCTAAAAGACAAAATAATTTACCCTCATCAGTAACTCAAAATGTGGGACAAAACGAAAGGAGAGGTAAGAGACTGTAAAGGATTGAAGATTCCACACGAGCCTGAGATAACACACCATAATCAGCTGGAACATCTCCCCTCCGCCGTACGCTGCTGCTTACTCACCCCTGACATAAGAAGTGTGCAGATTAAAGAGACTTCTGAAGTGTAAGTGTGGGAGGGAATAGGAATTGATATAAAATGCAAGGCAAAACTTTGATGCCTTCATATGTTCCGTGGAAACAACTATGTCAGCACTATGGGATGTCAGTGGAATGTAGTGATAAAACTACAGCGGTTTGGTAGAGGAATGCACAAATACTTCAGATAGCTTAATTTTTTTGTGATTTTGTTTTTATACGATAAAAGTCTGCAAGATCTAATGAAAATAATAATTAGAAGTGGTGTAAACTATACCTGGACTCCGGGGGGAACAGGTAGAGGGACCATGTATCTCTCTGCCGACACCATTCTGGCTGCTTTTTCTCCATCCATCGAAGTATCCTGGCCAAACGTCCCTGCACATTGAACAAAGGGTGAACAATATGTCTTATCCAGCTTTCTGAGGGCTAAAGTGGTTTTACACATAAAAACACCCCCTCAAACATTTGTGAATAAACACATATTGTGAACTACAGTTTTAATATGAAAGAAGGATACATTTCAAACCTAATATTTCTATCGGAAATCAATATCTATGGTTTTATCTACTTATCAGATGTGTCTGAACGGGAAAGATAAACTGAATATGACCAGCCTGGTAATGAGATGATATTAAAACTGTCAAATCATGATGCCACATAAGTAAAGCAAATCTAAATGCCATCTTTTATGCCAGCCAGTGACACATGTTTATGATCTATGGGATAAAAACCAACCTGTCAGGTCATTAAACGCTGCTCTACCCACCGATTATAATCAAGTAGCTTTGTGATAAAACATGCATCTTTAGTTACCTGGGAAACATTTCTAATGACTCAGTAGGTGAAATAAAGACAGTAACAAAAATCTAGATCTAGGATTTGCGTATGCTAAACTTTTTTACGGAGTGAATCTTGTTCCAGTATTGTTGCAAAGTTTTGCAATTGGACATAAAGATTTCATTCCGTTAGTTTTTTTAAATGTTATGGTTTTTTTTTTTTCCAGATTCATTATTTGCAAGCTTATTTTATTTTATTTTTATTTTTTTTATGAATTACATTCTCCCAATTTGTTTGTATGGATCAAATTCTCTTCACTTCAAGCCCAAAGCAAAAGCTCACAAGCCTGCCTCCAGAACCGAAGAGAGACAGCTAGAATTAAAGTTTGTCCTAAATGTGAAAACTCTGTTAAACTCTTTGGGGTGATTTGTAGTTTCTTCAGGTTATGGTATGTAAAATCCTTAGTAGTGAAAGAGCAATAAAAGTTTTTTTTTTAAAGTATAACTTAGATTTTTTTGAGCATTTTTTCAAAATATGCCAATAAGAGTTTGAATAGTCAATTGTTACAAAATTTGCTGTTTAACATCTTAGGATCTGAATGTTTGTGTAAACGTAATTCTAGGTGTTAAGGTAATTCATGCACATGCACACCTGGCTGACCTCCTCCTCCACATTCTCGTCTTCAGTGTTTTCGTCTTGAGAGACATTAGTCTGGCTGAGGGCTGATGGAGATCCCTTCCCATTACAGTCGTTGTGTTCTGCAGTTCGGCCATGGCCCAGGGAAGGGGGTCTGGAGCTCTGCATGCTGGATGTGCGGTGCAGGTAGGGCACCTACAAGGAAAGGAAAAAAAGGTTTCTAAATTCATATTAATAACTCTATGTACATCTAAAGGGGCACAGTAATGTAGCAGCGATATTGTGCATATGTGTGTATGTATATGAAGATGTTTGAAATTATACCCCACACTTCGAAAATTATCTTTTCAGTTTTAAAAAGGGTGTTTTCTTTCATAGCTGCTAGAGTTCAGAAGACTATTGAAGATCATATTCATTTCTAGTCTCAATGACATGTCACTTACTGGTAAATTGTATTTTAAAGCGTTGAGTCTGGGTTCCTTCCAACCAATAAGTTTTAATCTGCATCTTTTTGTATTTATTTAATTGAAATATTTCTAATCATTATAAAGGGTTTAAGTTTAGTAGGAATGGGATTTCTTTTTATCGCTTGAAGTTCTGATAGGAGGCTCAAGGAAGGAGTCACATACAGCAACAGCCACTCAAAATGGCCCTTCCCTGTCAAACGCCAGCCAAATGGCACCTCACTTCCCTGCAACTCCCAGCAAAATCACCTCCAACTTCCAGCCACTGTAGTGACCTGATCCTTCTCCTGGGTATGAATATTTTTTTTACTTTGACTACACCCTGAATTACAGACTCTGACCAGGAGATGATGCTTATCTTTAGATCTTAATGTCCACAAATCATGACAGAAAGAATATTTTATTACAAAGATTGATGTTTAAAAAGGAATTGTAATGGAGCAGCCAGGGACTCATCAAGGAAAGTGGGGAGATTTTGAGTGGCTACAACTGTACAAGTCGTTGTAGTTTGGTTTATTTGATAAATATCAGTTCATTTCCGATCACCCTGAGCTGTCACCTTATCCGAAGGCATTACAGGAGACTCTGGCTTTGTAAGGCAATATTGAGTAGCTGTGTCTACTGTCACCTAGCTTTCCCGATAATTCTACCATACTGCCAGAAGATGGCGCACACATCTGTTTATGTCTGCTCCTTTTGCCCAGTGCTGGAACTCTATTTAGGCTCAAAATAGTCTGTCAAACACCATCAACACAGACTCCTGGTTTAAATAACCTTATTTTATAAGGATTATGTTTTTTTTGGGTCCTTTTATGTATTTGCATTCTATGTAACTATGAGCTTTGCATACATTGTATTCAGTGTTGAGTGCATATTGATAAAAAAAGAAGAGATAATTTTTTTAATTAAAATGTGCTAAGTTTCAAAAATAGTTTCTCAAAGACATTTTCAAGCGTCTCAACAATCAGTTTAAAACATATTCTTTGGCACAACTACAATCAACGTTTT